TAAACTTCTGAACTCTTCCTAATTTGGGTAGCTTCTTGGTGTACTTGGCAAGGTCGGAGTGACCTTGGTTCATCCTAAAATTGCTGAAGCCACTACTTCATGTTCTGGTGTTCCTTCCTATCAACTCGTTCTGTTCTCTCAGACAATTTATTACCTTCGTGATTTGGTAAGATCCAGCAAATATAGCCTGACTGACCACAAACGGGGCCTGCAACTACTCAGAGCTATGATAAGTGACAAGAGAGGAAGGCAGGAATGTAGGGAGTAGTCCTGAGACCAGCACAATGATGTCTTGAAGCAGCAAAACAGTATTGTCGACCTTGTTAGGAGATAAAAAAGGAACCCAGCTTACATTTTAACTCCTCATTTCTCGAAGACTGCTTCCTTTTGAGCGGATTCATCCCGTAATCAAGAGGTTGTTTAAGTATTTGGAACAGTGGGAAAAGCTGGTTTCAAAACTCTGGTGATGACTGTCAGAAAGGGGTGCGTCTGCATCAGTCCAGAGAGAGCTGGACAGGGGACGGGGCTGCTCCGACTTGGTGGGCATCCTGGTTTGAGGTCAAGCAGAACCCATTTGCTCTGCAGTGATTTGACTTTTCAGCTGAGCCTCTTCTAACTCACTGCCTCTCTGAGATTAACGGCATAGTTTTCAGACAGTGTGTGCTTCTAGCAGACGAGGTCTGATGTTTCTAGTGAATCCCAAGGAACGGTATGCAGAGAGGCTCCTGTTTATTCTTCTTGCTATACCAGCCAAGGCCAGTTCACTTTGTTCTCTACAAAGCTGGAGGGCAGCAGTGGAAAAGGGTCTTCAGTGGGGTCACACCTGTGGGGTGTGGGGAGGAGCGTACAGGACAGGCGACCCAAAACTGACCAAGAGGGTACTCCATCCCACGTGCCTCATGTCGGTAGAAAAGCTGAGGGATGAAAGGGGTCAGCCTCTTTCTTCAATGGCCAGGGAGCCCAAGGAGAACTCTTGTCTCTTGGTCGGCCTTTGATCCCGACTCATGCCTTCCTGACTCCAGATGCAGAACCTGGGTCTTGTCCGTCGTTGATTCCAGTCTGGGACATTCCCAGTGCCTGCTGCCGATGGGATCATCAGCCTGGGAGCTCGAGACAAGTCTTTCTCTCTCTTCTGTTCTCTCCCTCCTTCTTGGAAGGGGAGTCAGGTTAAAGAGGCCATCTGTGGGTGGGTTTAGTGGCCAGCCCAGCCCAAACCACAGCAGGGGTGCCCGAGAGCAAGCTGCCGGCCAGAGCAGAAGGGTGTGGGTGCCTCTCTCCTCGCCTCCGCTGAGGTGGGGCTGGGGCTGCACGATGCAGTCTCTCCAAGGGCAGGCGTCAGAGCTCCTCCAGGGAAATCCAAGCAGCAAAACTCAATCGGCACCTACAAGGCAAGGACAGAGGCAGAAAGCGCTGATGAAACCACGGAGGCGGGAGAGGCGGGACTCTGTCGCCCGTTCTTTGGGAAGTCCAATGAAAAAAGGGTAGTTCCTGGCACAGAGAGAGAGCCCTTCTGAGCAGTGGCTGCGGTGTGGGCCTTTCCAAAACCCGAGCAGCAGCATCCCTCACTGTGCCTTGCTAGAAACACAGCTTAGAGGGCCAAAGATGCTTCTCTTGTACCCATTGGTTGGTTTTGTCTCCCTTCCGCTACTCCGAGCAGTGTTCAGAGCTTTAAAGGATGGACAGCAGAGTCTGCCACACACCTGGGCTCCTCGTTCTTCTTGCCTCCTTGGATTTCCTCAGTTGTCCGTCTCGGAGAGCTCTGTTTCCAGCTGTCTTCTCTTAACCTCTGGTTGACCATCACCCTCCCTTTCAAAGGTTGCCTTTCGCTTTCTGCTGGAACGTGAGGAGCCTGGCAACCTTTCCAAAAAGAGTATTGTTAGACGGGCAAAGCCACGGTAAACTGGAACCCATTCTGCTCTTAAAACCAAAGCTGTCTCATTTTACCTTCTCTCCTCGGTCAACCTCTGCACGTGCTCGCTTTCTGGAGCTGCTGGAGGCACCTGCAACAGAAATGTGGACTTTATCAAGTGGCCAGGACCTAGCTGCCCAATTTGGTTGGGTCATGCTCTCTGCGGACCTGACATACTTCTACTGCTTCTGCTTTTACCTCCAGTGCTGCTGACTCCGTGCCTGATGCCCCGGCAACCACAGCCTCCTCCTCCCCCTCCAAGAGTTCCTCGTGGTGTTCAATGAGGAACTCGACCAGCTGCGTGACCTGCACAAAGCAAACCATTGGTGTCATGGCTGAGAACGGGTCCAAGAGCCTCTCCCCCTCCGGACCCTTGCTTCTCTGCTGGGACCGGGAAGCTGTAGCCATCTGGTAAGCACAGCGTACCTTCTGCGTCACCTTCACTAGGACGTCGAGGGGGAGGGTCTGCTCCTCAGGTGGGCTGAGCAGGTTTGGCCCCACACAGATGGCCAGGTTGGCAGCACTCATCCTGCTGGTGCCCACGTTGCTGCTGATGGCTTTCAGCAAGGACAGCAACTGCTTGAGGAGCAGGAGGTTGCTTTGGGGCAACTTGCTGGCCACCCTGAGAGGAACAGGCACACAACGTTAATAAAGCAGACGCTGTCACCGCAGGTCCCCCAGGCTGATCTCACCCAAGCCTACGCCGGGGAAGGCTCCCTGGCCAGGCCTGGTCTCCAGCAGAAGGACTGCCTTCTCTGAGCTACGGCTACCTCTTTCCCTCCCTGCTCTTCTGACCAGAGTCCCTTCCTGGAACAACCCACCATGCCTGCCCCAAGCGCTCCAAGGAGAGAAATGCTTGGCTGTGCCACCACCGTGCCCCCAAAGCCCACCCCACAGCAGCCAGCCGTGCCCGGCAGAGAACACGGCTGTGTCAAGGAGGCCGTGGCTTTGCAGGCAAGTGCTGGCCTCTGCCAGCCCCTGGGCAGCAGCAGGTGCTGGCCACACTTACTCTTTGAGCGCTGCCAGCTTCTCCTGCCTGCTGTCCTTCTGCAGGGCGCTGATCCACTCCTCATAGAGCTCTGCCTGGAGGAGCTTGGAGGGGATCCTGCGGAGGAAGTCCTGCAAGGCCAAGGGCTCCAGGTGAGGCTTGGGGCACTCCTGGCGGGAGCAGGGGCAGCCTCCCCGTCACTCTGGCTCAGGAGCAGGCGGCTGGCTTTGGGTTCCTGCCCATCTGCACCAAGCCAGCCGGGAGCTGCCAGGCCCCAGGGGAGCAGGCTTCACCTTCAAGATGACGGCCAGCAAGTGCGCAGGCTGGCTTTCCAGGTGGACCTCCGCTCCGGAGTCCAGGGCCTCCCTGAGCTGCCGGGAGGCCTGCTCGCCGGCCGCCAGCCGGAAGATCCCCTCCGTGGATGGCCCGTGCTGGTGCAGAAGAGCCAGCAGGTCCTGCAGGGCAGAGGGGAGGAGAGTTGGTGGGCTGTAGACGGGCTTTGGGGCAGGTGAAGGTAGCTTCGGGGCAGGAGCAAGCGTGGGCAGCTCTGCGGCTCTCCGTGGGGCAGGATGGAGGGGTGGGTGAGATGGGGAGGAGCGGGCTTTGTCCCCGAGCCCCAGCTGGGTTCCCTCTGCTCGGGCCAGCGCCTCTGCAGAGGAGCCAGAGGGCTGGGCACCCCCTAGGCAGGCGTGCTTACCTGGATGGGCTGGGGAGGGGTGCCATCCTGGCTGCAGAGAGCTGCCAGGGGCCGGCCAAAGAGAACCCCGCTGCTGCCAGAGCCCGACGGCCCGGGCGCTGCTGCAGCGGCCGAGTTCCCTCGCCGGCCAAATGGCCAGGGAAGAAAGCTCCTCCTGCTGCCGGTCCCACCTGCTGCCAAGGACAAGAGGGCAAAGAGGCGTGGAGGAGGAGAAGTGCCAGGTGAGCGCTCCCGCACCCTCTCAGCACTGTCCCCCCTCCACCCAAAGAAGGGGAGAGGGGTGGTTTGGGAAGAAGGGGCTCTGGGGGCTCAGCTCTCTCCCGCCGCAGAGCCGTGGGGATGGACGTGCCCTGCAGGGAAGGCAGCAGCAGCCCCGCTGCAGCACCAGTGCCCGCCTGCCAGAGGAGAAGGGCCCTGCGGTCCCCGTCTCCTGCAAACTCACCAGCTGTGTGGCCAGGTCCGCCTTGGCTGGCAGAGGAGACGGGAGCTGGCCGCTGCTTGGCACCAGCCTGCAAGAAATGCCCTGTGCTCAGCCAGCAGCCCCGCAGCAGAAAGGGCCCGCGGGGAGCTGCGTCAGCCCCTAGCCCTGCCAGATGGCACCCCTCACCTCTGCCTGCCGCTCGACCAGCCTCTCCAGGCTGCTGGCGTGGAGTGTGGTGGCCTGGGCAAGGGCAAAAGAGCAGAAGGTGAGAAGCCGTGCCCCTGCTGCCGGGCTGCAGCAGGCTCTGGGGACAGAGCGGAGACAGGAGGGACACTCACGGCATTGCGGCGCCTCAGCTCCTTCCGCAGGAGCTTGATGGAGGGCACCTGGGTGACGCGGGCTCCCTCCACTCCTGCTGGTGGCCTGTGCACAGGGACGGGGCAGAGAAAGAGCAGTGTGAGACCCCAGCTGCCTTGTCCCTCCCCCGCCCGCCCTGGGAGCCCCTTCCAAGGTGCCCGCAAGCAGCCGGGCACCCTCCGGCAGTGGAGTGGAGTGGAGAGCAGCGGCAGTGGTGGGGCCGGGGCTGGGCAGGTGTTGGCTGGACACGGGGGGGTGAAGCAGCTGCCCCAGCTCTGCCCGCTGGAGAGCTGCCCACAGCCGTGGGGGCACCTCTCCCCAGCTGGGGAGGGCCGTTTCCCCATGGTGGGGCTACGCCTGGAGCATCCCCCCGGTGCTGGGAGCAGGGCTTGCCCAGGCTGCACGGCCGGGCAGGGCTTACCCAAGGAGGGCGCTGAGCCAGAGCTCCTTCACCACCCGGGAGCTGCAGACAGAGAGGGGAAACAGCCTGAGTGCCCGCTGCGGCACAGCCCTGCCCCGTGGGGACGGCCACAGAGGCAGGACAGAGCCCCCTGGGGACGGCCACAGAGGCACCCCCCAGCCCTGCCGTGGGGACGAGGCACCCAGACTCACCAGAAGGTGACCACGCAGGAGCCGCAGGGCCAGAGCAGGACAAGGGACTTGGCGTCCTTGCCCTTCTCCTCCGTGGTGGCATCGCCAGCTGCCCCCTTCCCGCTGCAGAGCACCTGCAGCATGGCCAGGGCCAGGCAGAGCTGCGGGCGCGGGGCGCTGCCACGTCTGCAGAGAGGAGCGTCAGGGAGTGACCTGGAGGTGGCCAAGCCCGGGGGCTGCCCTCCAGCCTCCCCCTGCCATGGGGGCGGCCACGGGTGCATCCAGCAGCAGGGTGCCGGGGGCCTGGGGCTTGGGAGGAAAGGGGCTCTGCGAGTCTTACTTGGCCTTGGCGATGACCAAGGTGTCCCTGTAGAGGAGCAGCTCCCTCTTCCTGCTCCGCCGGCCCTCGGTCACCTTCACGCGCTGCCGGTGCAGCGGCTCGGGTGGTGCTGCCACGGGCTCAGGGTCGTCCCTGGGGAGCAGACGGCGTCGGGCATGAGCAAGGGGGCTGCCGCGGGGACCGGCCGTGCCGGCGTGTCCCCGAGCCATGGGGGGAGCTCACCTGGAGCCCTGGCAGCAGTTGACCTGTCCCATCTCAACGGCCTCACGCGGGACACAGCTGTGGGGCTGATGACAGTGCCCAGCTGGCCCACGCAAGGCTGCCAAGGGGGGTCGCGGTGCCAAAAACCACTCTCACAAGGACGCTGGGCAAGAGCTGGGCTCTGCCAGTGACGCTCGCTCGGTGCTGGCACAGCACTGTCCCTGCAGGGCCCTGGGGAGGTTGCCAGGCCAGCGCTGGGTTCACCATTGTGATGTCAAGACTGGCCAGGGGGGCCGTGGTGGGGGAGGGGCACTGGGGGGCTCTCCCCACTAAGACCATGGCTCTCGCCTACTTGACCTCCAGTCCAACCATCAACCAAACACTGCCAAAACCACCACTAAACCAAGTTGCTAAGCACCACATCTACCCATCATTCCAATCCCTCCAGGGACGGTGATGCCATTACTTCGCTGGGCAGCCTCAGCCTCTTCCAACGCTTGAGAGCTCTCTTGATGGAGAAATTTGTCACCACTTGTGACTGGCCTCCAACGGACTCCATTCACCAGTACTCTCTGGGTCTGGCCCTCTCCATGCTTTTTTATCCAGTGAAGCATGCACCCATCCAGGCCATAAGCAGCCAGTTTCTCCAGGATAATGCTGTGGGAAATGGTGACAAAGGCTTTACGAAAGTCTAGATAAACAACATCCCCTGAGCGGGTTACCAGACCTCCTGGAAGCTGGGAGTGTAGTTACTTAGGGCAGTGATTGCCATTGTTAATCATGAAGCAAAGATGGCATTGCCTTTGAAACACTTCAGATGCCAGCTCGGAGAGTCACATGCAAATTTCCATGCTCTTCTGACTCCTGCACAATCACTGCAAGACCTGCAGATCAGCCCTGCAATTGGTTTTGCCTGTTGTGGCTGGCACGTGTGTTTTCCCTTTGGAAAGGACCTCCACCCCTTTCAACATCAAAGAGGTGACCCAAAACTGACCAAGAGGGTGCTCTGTCCCACGTGCCTCATGTCAGTAGAAAAGCTGAGGGATGAAAGGCTGTATTCTCAGCAAGATTGCTGATGATACCAAATTAGGAGGACTGGCTGACACCCCAGAGGGCTGTGCCGCCATCCAGCGCGATCTGAACAGGCTGGAGAGCTGGGCAGAGAAGAACCTAATGAGGTTCAACAAGGACAAATGTAGGGTCCTCCACCTGGGGAGGAAGAACCCCAGGCACCAGTGCAGGTTAGGGATGGATCTTCTGGGAAGCACTACTGAGGAGAAAGATCTGGGCTGCATAGGAAAGAGTGTGGCCAGCAGGTCGAGGGAGGTCATTCTCCCTCTCTACTCTGCACTGGTGAGGCCACAACTGGAATACTGTGTCCAGTTCTGGGCCCCCCAGTTCAAGAGGGACAGGGAACTGCTGGAAAGAGTCCAGCGTAGGGCTACAAAGATGATTCAAGGACTGGAGCATCTCCCTTATGAGGAGAGGCTGAAAGAGCTGGGACTCTTTAGTCTGGAGAAGAGAAGGCTGAGGGGAGACCTTATTAGTGCCTACAAGTATCTCAAGGGCGGGCTGAGGGAGGAGGGAACCCGACTCTTTTCAGTAGTTACCAGTGAGAGGACAGGGGGCAATGGGCACAAGTTGGAACAGAAAGGGTTCCACTTGAATATGAGGAAAAACTTTTTCATGGTGAGGGTGACGGAGCCCTGGAACAGGCTGCCCAGGGAGCCTTGTGGACTTGTGGAGTCCCCTTCTTTGGAGATTTTCAAGACCCGCCTGGATGCAGTCCTGAGTGGCATGATCTGACGCGGTCTGGGTGGTCCTGCTTTGGCAGGGGAGTTGGACTAGATGATCTCTATGGTCCCTTCCAACTCTAAAAATTCAGTGAAATTCAGTGAAACCTCTATGAAAGTGGGATCCAAGAATGCAAGAGGTGTGGGCCAGAAGGTGAGTAGACCAAATGGAATTTGATTCTTACCTGTGATGGGCAGAAAGGAATACAGAACACATTCCCTGAAATACGCAGGCATTTTATAGTAGAGCAGTATCAGTTTGGTTTTTTGATTAACTGAAGGAGTCCTAGGAGATACCAGAACCAAAAACTTTCCTTCTGTCCAGCTGAGTGTTTTAGCCCCCCAAGTTAAAGACAAGTTGGCTATTCTTCTCCAGGTCTAGTCATGTTTGCTGATTTCAGTGTACAACAGCACAATGTCAAGAGGAAGCATAACGAATGCTCTTTGCAAGGTAGTGAGGAGCTTGCTGGCTAGGACTTCTGTCTGAAACATGCTGAAACACCAGCCAGCTACAAAGAGATCTCTTACCAGATGTTATTATACAAAAAATGGACACCCTTATTGTCAGTAGTAGTCACAGCTAAAGTAACTTCTCCAAAGGACTATCTACCCATATCCAACTGAGATAGTAGTTCATAACTGGGCACTACAGAGCATGAATAGCTGGCTCATCATAATCATCTAGGAAACTTTCAGAACAAGAAGCAAAGCATCTTGTGAATTTATGAATTTAGAGCTTTTCTCAAGACATCCAAAGGGAGTCTGTCTGCCTCTGTCCACTGAGGAATGCTTGAGAAATACCAGATATCTGTACCAAAATCACTGCAGAAATGTTGATGAGTAAGGTCAGCCTGTCTCTAGACTGACATCTCATGAAGGAGTTACTCCACTTCTCGTGCCCAGGAGAATAGGCTAGCAAAATAAAGACAGATGCCAGTGGGTTAAATAACACTCAGTTCTGATACTGTCTTATAGCCCAGATGTTACTGACTTTTTGTCTACATTTGCTTTTGTTTTTTCTAGAGCTTGGTCCTGTATTCAGTGCCATCTGGCACCCACAAGATGTTCAAGGTGAAGCAAGTGACCACCTATAGAAGCCAGAAAAAGGGAAAAACCTTTCCCCTAAGAAAAACCTCGCCTAGACAAACTAGAACATAATCTCAAGGAGAAGTAGGCACAGCCAACATAGTTTCTCCTCTTTATAGGCAGCTTTAGAGAGAAAAGTAGTTTCCATCATCCTCAGGATCCACAAAAGATCAGCCATTGCTCCCAACATGATGCAGTGTGTGCCCCGGTGTATTCGTGCCTTGGTGGCATTGAGTCTGGTGGCACTGATGTCTTGGGTTAGTCTGCTCTGTCCATGTTCTTACGGCTAATTCAGTCAAAGAAGGGGAATTTTTCCTCTGGCACGATGAGAGTGCTGTATGAAGATTTTTGCTCTGATCTAGAAGATGGGGAATCTCTACTTGTGAAGATCATCTAATATTTCATCAAGGTAGTTCCTGTCATTGCAAGAACCTGGGACTTTGTCCTTGGCCTTTTCCTAAAGCACGGTTTATTTGTGATTAATTTTTTTTTATTATCTTAGTACAGAACATAAGCTTGTGAAGAATTTGGGAAAAAGTTTTGTGGCCTGTTATGGGTTTCTTGATTACATATTTTTTCATTATTCTCTAAAATTTTTTGGGACTGGATTCAACAACTAGGAAGCCCCAAAAATTTTGTATGTGTTTTCTACTCCTTGGTGCCCTTTTGGCAGATCTCCCATAGAGCAATCCCACAGTCTGCAGAGCAAGTGCTGTCTATCCTCAGACTTAAAGCATCCCCTTAAATATTTTTTCCAGGAGGAAAACAGCTGCAGGCTACATCTCATCTTACCTCCCAGAAAAAATCATTGTGCAGGCCATGGAGTACTGAGGCCCTGGATAGCACACTTTCTAAAATAATTCCATCATTCCTGTCCTTCTCCACCTTGATGTGCATACCTCTCAAGTGCTGTTGCAGATCATGTTCTTGCTGAAAGACATGGATCAGTGTAAAGGATCGTTACTGTCATTCAGACACTGGGTAGAGTCACAGGAAACACCCTTTGAGGTCTCCGAGTGATGAACACAATAGTTTGAGGGCTTCTGAGTAGGAAGACAAAAGAATATCTCAGCAACAACTGTATAGTATATAGCAAATAGCAGATTTCAATCCTGGACCATCTAAGAAAAATAAAAAAAAAACAAGCAACAGATGTAGTATTGGATAATAATGATTCAGAATTATTTAATGCATTGTTTTGACAGGCTTCACGTCATAAAAGTAAAAGCAGACCTTCTTAATAATAAAATATAGATAGAGACAGAAACACAGCAGAGCAACAAAGAACATAATGGAAGATATTTGAAGCTATTTTGACAATTTTTTTCTTTTTAAACAATAGAATTTACGTAAATTTGTAAACTAGCCTGAATATATTCATGAGATGTGGGAAAACAACAAGAAATACAGTTAAACTAAAGGTTAAACGAACTCTTTCAACAACTTGACACCAGCACTAATAGAATAAGGACATGAAAATTACTGTATAGCAAATATCAACTAATGGCTATCATGAGATCATTAGTGTCAGTGGACAGCACCCCTTCCAATTCTGTAGGATGAAGATATATTTGACTAGCTGTGGGATGCTGGTGTACTGCTTTTACTAGAAGAGAAATTTATTTATATTTCAACATGATTGCTGGGAAAAGCCTTGGAACTTGAAAACAGCTTTCTGAACAGAAGACTAAATGTAAAAATACCTACAAATTCAAGGTGACTTTAGCCAGCAAACTGTGAGGTATCATAAGTACCTCCCATTTAACACCCAAATCATGTGTATCTAAAGATACCCCAGACCAGAAGACACCCCATCATGTCTATCTAAAAGTCCTTCAGGGCCTAAACTGCCCATCTTGCCTATCTGCAGGATTTACCACGCTGTCCACTGAATCCTGCACTTCTCATGCCAGCCTGCCAGTAGCTGCCCCCACTGCATAGGGAGTCCCTAATGTCATCCAACTCACATTGATTATCCCAGCCCATGGCTGCACGACTTACACTACTGGGAAAATGAAGACACTGGGATCTCCTACCAATACAAAAGTATGTATTTATTCCACCCTTGAACTTATCCAAGTACAGGAAAGGGCAGACAGGAGTTGCAGTCTGTTAGACAGGAGCCAGTAACATTAAGGTGGGAGTTAGGAAATATCAGAATGAGAAAAAAAAAATAGAATGGTTGTTAAGGGTATCAGTGGGAACAACAGGAATTTGGTTGGGGAGAGCTTGAGCAGAAATGAACAAGGGAGGGTCAATAAAAGAATGACTTGAGCTACAGAACCAGGAGGTGCAACAGGCAGACAGGGAACAGGCAAGCAGAAATGCATACAGATGAGGATAAAGCCAGATCTGGATAGGAAGTTACCACAATCTCATCAAATTCACATCAAATTCACATGACAGCAAGGGTGACTTCAGAAGAGCTGTGGGTGAGTGTGTGAGAAGACAGTAAAATGTGCAACACCCATGTCTGTGCTCCAGCTTCCACAGTTTTGTATACATGGCCCACATCAAGCAGCATTGCCTCAAACTGATGCCAGACATTTTTTATTTTGGAGACAGGATCTGCCCAGAAAGGGCATTTATATTAACACCATGCTTGCAGTTTGCAAGCTTGCGTGAACGCTACACTTAACATATTAACAGCTGTTTTCCCCAGTAGATCTGTTCTCTAACTTAGGTCATTTTACTGTTTCCAGAATCAAGATAGAGATATTTTTGGACAGCATATGAAACAGTTTAGCAAGTTATCTATCAGTTCAGGGATCTAAAGTGACTGTGCTACATGGCTTGAAAAGCTGAACCCAGAGCTCTGGAAAAGCCAGTGAAAGCAAAATTTAGATACCATGAAATTTCTGACCTAGCAGTAAAGGGAGAAAGCGAGCAGGAAATTAAGTCAGTCTGAATTGAAAATGCAAAGTACAAGTGTCTCTCATATGAAATAAAGCACAGGAAAGTCTAACAAATCGAAGGAAAGCAAAATATAGGTTCCATAGGGATCTTTTAAAACAGTTTCTATGGTTGCACTTCTAGGTTTAAAGCAGCCCACCCTAAGCAGCAAGACAGAGAGGACTGAGAAGTGCTGGACTGGAAAGGGTTTGAGAGCTTGCATATCTTCCCATTATTTTCAGACTTTCCCATATCTCAGAAGAGGGCACTGTGGGATGGAGAGCTACTAAACATGAAAAAATTCAGCCGAGTTCCCAACAGGAATTGCTATCACCATGTAATTTGCAATTAATTACTTCTTTTGTTTTTATCCAGAGAACCGTGTGTG